GAACCCCCTTCCCCTCCCCCTTTTCTGATGAAGGGTCTAGGCCCGAAACGTCAGCCTCTCTGCTCCTATGATGCTGCTTGGCCTGCTGTGTTCATCCAGCCCTGCACCTTGTTGTCTCATGAATAGGAAAGGTTTGCTTCCAAATGCAGGCAAGTGGGATGTGTTTGGTTTGGGAATGTGGTCGGCAAGGACTAGATGGACCAAAGCGTCTGTTTCCATGCTGTGGGTTTCTATGATTCTATAAATCATTTCCTCCAGTTTATCCACCAATATTCCTATCATGTTACTTCTGAAGCACTTATTTTCCATTAAAAGTTATTTCTGGTGATGCTCAGCTGTCTGTACTTTTCTAGTGAGCTATTGCATCCCATGTTCCAGTCACCGATATCTCTCTTCTAACTCCCTCACTGCTGCCCACCCCAATCCCAACACCACATAGAGAAAACAACCTTAATGCCAGGTTATACATATACACCAATAACTTGTATTTTAATGCTTTGCTGTAGTACCCATTCCAGGCTGCTTTGTAGGGACACAAAATTATCATTAAAAAATAGACACGAGGCCACGTGCTAATGTGGTTCTGAGGAAAGGTCACTGGACCCAAAACACTAACTCTGTTTTTTCCTTCACAGATGCTGCCAGACCTGCTGAACTTTTCCAGCAACTTTGTTTTTGTTGCATATGTGCTAATGTTAGGGCAGGGCTTAATGTGTTTCGGTTTGAAGATGTGCTTAAAATGAGGAGAGAAAGACAGATTTGTTAAGGGAGAGAATTCAGGTGCTTACGAGCTAACTTACTGTTTGCACAATGTCAATGATAGAACAGTAAAAACCAGGGACATGCAAGAGACACAAATTGGATGAATTCTGAGATCTCCGTAGGCAATAAAGTTGGGTAACACCTGTGAGCATCCAGTCAAATTGAGAGAAAGGCAAATGCAAGTACTGAATACACATATGTGTGAACTTGTTATCCTCCTGGCTTGTTATCTCCCTCCTCTTCAGATCCATTCACATTCAAGAATGATGGTTGCCATTTTAATTCTGTCAATTCTGGCCCCAGGAAGAAAGCATTCAGAAAAAAGAAGAATAAAAGAGGGAGAGAGTATGAAACAGTAAAATTGACACCAAAGGATTTAGATAAATCTTTGCACCCTGTACCCTCCCACCAAGATACCTAACTCCCCTGAAGCCGTCACCTTGTATCTTGATTTAACAACTTTCAGCCATCTGTTTCCACAACTAATTCCTTTAATCAATGCAGCGATGACAGATTATTTAAAAAGCAAAGATAAAATTGGGTAGTTCTGCTTTATTTCTCTTAAGAGCATAAAAATTAGGAGTCAGACTCCGGCTATTTCGCCCTTAGAGCTTGCTCTGCCATTTAATATGATCATGACTGACCATCTAATTCAGTACCCTGTTCCTGCTTTCTCCCCATACCCTTTGATCCCTTCAGCTCTCAGAACCATATCTATCCCAACAGCCCTGCACCAAACCGAAGTAAATATTTAACGTTGTTAAAGTGGCAGGGTGATATATTAATTTCTAAGGAAAGCGTGCAACCATTGTTACAGTTATCCAATACAGGTTAACTTTGTGTAAGTTTGTTATTGTTTTTGTAAGATTTACGAACTGATTTATCATTGGTTCTATCAGGCAGTTTTTTGTTTAAACTAGTTAAATTGAGTAACCCAATAACAATGCCAGCTCAATATGAAACACTAAACTGGGGCAACTGAAGAGAAGTTGTCCTGGAGTTTTGTTCTAAATTTTTATTATTGGGATTGGCCAGGTTATTAAAGAGGATAGTGTGACCTTCCAGCTTTGTTTTAAGTTTCATGATGCTATTTGTGTGCAGGGCCCAGAAGAGGATGAAGAGGAGGAATCTGATTTTACTGTGACTGAGTTGATGGAGAGGAGCCAGCAGCACAAGCAGCTGGAGAAACGAATGCTGGGCGAAGATTCTGATGAGGATGAAAGTGCAGATATTGAAGCAGAGGAGCAGCCAAGGCCACCTGCAGCCAGCAGTGTCACTGGTTGCACATGGGGAATTGGTAGGTGCACCTACGATGTGGAGGGCTGGAGAATTGCAAGCTTTGGGCTTATTCTAAAAACGTAAAGTTAAGCTCAGCAATGTAGTTAAACTGATTAGTTTATCTACAATGCTAGAGAAGCTTCCAGAAACAATTATTTAGAATAGAATTAAGAGTAAAAGTTGCCATAGTCTTACAGGACCTGATCTCTCCATTAATAGCCACATGGGAAAATGTGGGTTAATTTGGAAGTTCCGGCATGGATTTGTTATGGGGAAAATTGTGTCTAACTAACCCGGAAGAGATTTTGAAGGGGTAACAGAGAGGATTTTTACTTTTTTTTTTGTGGGATATGGCTGTTACTGGCTAGACTAGCATCCCTAATTGCTCAGAGGACAATTAAGAGCTGCATGGCTATGCGTCTGGAGCCACATATAAGGCCATTAAAAAGTAGGAACAGGATAGACCATTTGGCCTCTCAAGCCTGATCTGCCATTCGATAGGATTATAGCTGATCTGAGATTCTTCACATCAAAGTTGCTTCCCTTTCCCCATAATCCTTGATTTCCCCTACCGATCAAGAATCTATCTTGGCCTTAAAGACGCAGAAGGACTCTGCCCCCCCCTCGGGCTCTCTGTGACAAGGAGTTTCAAAGACACTCGACCCCCTGATGGAAGAAAGTGCTCCCCATCTCCATCTTAGATTTAGGTATGCCTTAGATGTGTAGGCAGCACCTTGTCTTTTAAAAACGTCCTGAAAAGTTCTGCATGGTGAATTTATTACTGTGTTGAGTGTGCAGTAAAGTGGAAAATGGAATTCAAACTGGAGAAGTGTGAGAATATGCATTTGGGGAGGGCAAGCAAGGCAAAGGAATACACAATAAACAGGAGGCAGGGGAAATGAGAAGCCTTGGACTGTGTGTCTACTGGAACCTGAAGGTGGCAGGACTGGCCAATGAAGTGTAAAGAAGTCCTATTAGCTGCTTTCCTTTTTATTGGGTTGTAATGCTAGAAATAGAAGACACTAGTTAGGCGACTGCTGGAGTTTTGTGTGCAGTTCTGGTCACCACATTACAGGAAGTAGAAAATTGCTCTGAGAGAGGGCAGACAAAAAATCAAAGACCCCTCCCACCCCAGTTATACTCTTTTCTCCACTTTTCCATCTGGCAGAAGATGCAAAAGTTTGAAAACCCATACCAGTGGATTTAAGGAGTCGCAGGGTTTTTTACGTTTCGGGCCGAGACCCTTCATCAGAAAAGGGGGAGGGGAAGGGGGTTTTGAAATAAATAGGGAGAGAGTGTTTCAGAAAAGGGGGAGGGGTTAAGTACAGCTTCTTCCCCACTCTTATCAGACTTATGAGCGGGCTTCTCGTATATTAGAGTTGCTCTTTCTCTACACCTTCTCTCTAGCTGTAACACTATATTCTGCATTCTGTTCTATTACCCTGATGTACTTATGTAAGGCATGATTTGTCTGGTTAGCACATGTGACAATAATAAATCAAATCAAATAGCAAGTGTGCAATGGAAATGAAAATTGTCACCACCCCACCCAGAGTGTATGGGGTATTTCCTTCTTTGAGGGAGGGGGTCTTCACTTTTGAGCGATGCGAGGCCCTTCAAAGGACAACAGTATTACATAGACACCCATGCAGTAAAGGTGAAAGAAGTAAGACTTCACTACTCCTGCACCAAATCCTCTAGTGATAAAGGTCCATTAACTTTCTGACTTCTTATCATTTTAAGAAATACTTTTCTTAAAGATATATTGTATATCTTATAAAGATATAAAGAAAATACTTTTCTTCATTTTTAAGAAATACTAATTTTCGTGTGTGCTGCCAGGGCATGAAAATTGTTCCTTTGAGAAATGATTGCACACTTTAGGCCTTTGCATAGAATAGAGAAGGCTGAGGGGTGACCTAATCGAGGTGTACAAAATAATGAAGGGTATGGATGGAGGGAAAACTTTTCTCGCCCAGAGCATGGTGGATGCCTGGAATTTGCTGCTCAGTTTAGTGACTGAGATGGAATCCTTCAACTCATTTGGAAGGAGTCTGGATCAGTGCCTAAAGGGGTGTCACCTGTAGACCAAGAACTAGAATGTGGAATTGAAATGGATGGCTAGTTTATTCAGCAACCTCAGACACTTGGGCTGAATGGCCTCTTCCTGGGCTGTAATCATTCTATAGTTCTATAACCAAGCTCCAAAACATGACCCATTCTGATTACTATTTTTGACCTCCTTAATTGCTATGCATATTCAAGTCAACTATCGCTTGCTCTAAGCTCTGCTAGGTAAGTAGAGTCTGTGTTGCTTTTTGGTGTATAAATAGAGATATCAATTCACAAACTTGAATAAAAAGTAATGGTACATATGGGGACCCATATGCTATAACAAGAAGCCAGTTGGATGAATGACCAATTGAATCGAGAGGATTTCTGCATCCCAGTTTATCTTGTGCCAAGTCTGTGGCATTGATGCACGATCCCATCATCTTGTTGTCAGGTTTCTGCATTGTACCTTTTCGTGTAAATGCCTCTGCAAGGAGTCATTTTCCAGATATCTGGGATGCCACAAATTCCTCAAGATCGGAGTGTTTATCTAACAGAGTGCAGTTGACTGCAACATTATAATAATAAAGCTATTCGGTATTTAGAAATGGACAACTTTACTTCAGTGCTTCCCTGTCCCCGTCAGCCCCGCCCCACAACGTTAACACATTACCACTAAAGAAGTAAATCCAATCAAGAATAAAACAAATAAAATTTTGTAGAAAGGAAACTGTCATGAGTTAAAAGTGAATATGCTGATTGATGAATGAGTTCCCATCAAGTCCAACCAGAAAAATAATTTGGCTTCTTTCAGCATATCGCTCTTCGCCTCCCTTCCCTTTTACACCCAGCTACTATTTTCTTTTACTAGATTTGGTCTGAGACCATCATGAGTGAAATTGTATCTCACTTGGCAGCCAGTGATCTGCAGCTCAATGAATTAACATATAAAGTAGGTTGTGTCTGCTAGATTTTTGATTTTATTTTTAATATTTCAACAGTTGAGGATGCAGTGGAAGATGAAAGTGAAGACAACCCATATTCCATTGAATTCCAGGAGGACCGTGAAGCTTTTTATATCAAAGACCCTAAGAAAGCACTACAGGGTTTCTTTGATAGGGAAGGTATGCTGCTTTTTCAAACAAAGTCTCTGCTATCAGAAAATGAAATGACCACCGCAGAATTAACAATAGTCTCGCTGTCAGGAAAGATGACATTATTTCAATGAATATAATATTTTATGCATTAAAGCAGCCAGATCATGTGATTTCACTTTTCGCTTTCAGTTTCCTCCAGCCTCTCTCGAAGGCATAGGCCCTTGCTGGGATACAATTTGCTTAATCTATCAACTAACCAATTCCTTGTCCATTCAACATTTCATTTGTTGACACAGACGCTGATTGTCAATTAGATGTTCAACCGTGGAAGGCATCGCAACTAAGTCATTATCTTCTAAGTGCTGTCAGATACTCAAAACCTTAAGGAAAAAAACATTAGTTTTAACCTAATGGTCAGCATTTTAAAACTTCACATTCACAATTCTACTTGCCATAACCTTGCCCCAACAAACTCCTCCAGCACTTAACCGTCTTAATTGTTCCTTCAATTCTGCCCTCTAATGAATCTTTGGTTATATTGCTGCACCAGAGATGGTCACGTCTTCACTCACCTGGGCCCTAAATTATGCAATTAATTCATAGAGTCATACAGTTGTAAAACACAGAAATAGACCCTTCGGTCCAACTCCTCCAACTAACTAGATAGTCTATATTAATCCAGTCCCATTTGTCAGCATTTGGCCCATTTCCCTCTAAACCCTTCCTATGCATATACACATCCAGATGCCTTTTAAATGCTGTAATTGTACCAGCATTCACCCCTTCCTCGGCAGCTCATTCCATGCACGCACCATCATTTGCGTGAAAATGTTGCCCCTTAGGTCCCTTTTAAATCTTTCTCCACTCACCTTAAATCTGTGCCCTCTAGTTTTGGACTCCCCTATATGGGAAAAAGACATAGGGTGAATAGTCAATCCATGCAGCTCATGACTTTTTAAACCTCTACAAGTCACCCCTCAGGCTCTGACGTTCCAGTGAAAATAGCCCCAGCCTTATTCAGCCTTTCCCTATAGCTCAAACCCTCCAACCCTGGAAACATCTTTGTAAATCTTTTCTAAACTCTTTCAAGTTTCACAACATGTTTCCTATACAAGGAGACCAGAAGTGAACACAGTATTCCAACAGTGGCCTAAACAATGTCCTGTACAGTCCGCAACATGACATGCCCAACTTCTATGCTCAATGCATAGAGGCAAAGGCCAGCGTACCAAACACCACCTTCATTGCCCTATCTCCCTGTGACTCCACTTTCAAGGAACTATGAACCCACACCCGTTGGTCTCTTTGTTCGGCAACACTCCCCAGGACCCTACCATTTACGTGTGTCCTGATTTGCCTTACAAAATGAAACCCCTCACATTTATCAAAATTAACTCCATTTGCCACTCCTCAGCCCATCTGATTAAGGTCACATTGTACTCTGAGATAACCTTCTTCACTCCATTACACCACCAATTTTGGTGTCATCTGCAAATTTCCTAACCATACCTCCTACATTCACATCCAAATCATTATATAAATGACAAAAAGCAGTGGACCCAGCAACAATCCTTCCCTTAACACCACCATCTCTTTCCTCCTGTAAAACCCGTGAAACACATGTGACCAAGCATTTCATCATTCCTTCGCAATGTCACTCAGTGTCAAATTTTGTTTGATAAAGCTCCTATGAAGACATTGTGTTAAAGATGCTGCATAAATGCATGTTGATTTTATTATATTTTAATTTTAGTATTAGAGGTACCTTAATGTGAATGTTATTCTTGACAATCATTATTTCATTTAAATAAAGATAATTAAATCTTAGGTAACGTGGATTAAAAGACCACAATTAAAGCTGTGAAGTAATAAATTGGGGCCTAAATGATTAGACTTATCAAAATCCTTGCACCGCTTCGAAAAGTCATGAGCCATTGACCAATAAAATGAAAAACCACAAATCTACAGCAAAAACATGGAAATACATTGCATCTATAAAAGAAAACGAAGATCCTGAGTTACTGAGACAAGTAATCGGTCAGTTTGTTTCAACCTCAGAAAGATGGACGATATTGTACCCTTTTGCTGCAGTAAACTAAAAACGGACAGTTCACAGCACTTTTCACAGCTTCAACTGCTTGACAGCCAACAAACTACTTTTTAAGCATAGTAGCTTTTGTAATGTAGGAAATGTAGCAGTTAATCTGTACACACACAAAGCTTTCACAAACAGCAAGCAATAAAACTCAAATAACATGTTTTAGTGACGTTGATTGAGAGATAAATACTGGCGAGGACACCAGGGGGATGTTCCTTGTTCGCTATCTTTGAAATAGCGCAATGGATCATTCAGTTCTACCAGAGAGAGTTCAACATCTGATCTGAAGGACTGTACCCACGATCTCATTTTTCAACAGTATTAAACCCATTAGACTTCCACTTCTGTTCACTCTGAAGAAGTCATATCAGACTGAAAACATTAACTCTATTCCTCACTCTGCAGATGCTGTCATACCTGCTCAGTTTCATGAGCATTTTCTATTTATATATCCATAGTATTGCTAACTGATTCTAGCTGTTTAGATTGAAAGATTGCAATCAACAATTAGGAGTTAGCCCATCGTGTACACTGTGTGTCATGTGTCTCAATGTTGTCAATGATCTTTCAATATGAATCAAGTTCTTCCTTCCGGAAATGCCAGAATCTCACGTCCCACTTGGAAACTAAGTTAGGCCCTATTATATTTTTGAACATCATAAACAATGCCTGTATTGATTTATCATTCCTTAAACAATCCTACCAATGTATGAATGACCAGATCGGATTACGAAAATTGTAATCAAAGCTACACATCTCCTATATAAGGGGCAATTACTTCATTGAGTGAATGAGTAGCACTGAATCACATGCGGTTGAGCCCCCGAAAGTGCAGTGCAATATTATGAAGTTGTTTCATGCAGCACAACAGCGCACCCCCTCCTCCACGATGTGGGGATTGCATAAGCGTGCATTCAGTTCCTAGGAGTGTATGTTCGAAGTGATTTCAATAGGATAACTAGGCATGCTTGATACGCTTAAGAGAGCAAATGGGAGAGTTTGCATGCTGTGCTTTCTCAAGCACCAAAACACACCTCAAACTGTCAAATTCACTGTTTTAATAGCCGTGCAAGTTTTATTGTTTAATATGCAGCAGTATTTGGAATTTGAGACAAAACAAAGAGCACTCAAAGACATTTCAAAATAGTCAGAAACAAGTAATGAGACTGATCCTAGGTAAAATGTACAGCTGCTCTGATACATTGAAACAACTGAACATGAGCCCCCATTACTGAAATGTGGAAAAAGCTCTGTCAAGACTACATTTTTTAAAAATGTAACTGTGTTATGGAATTAAGGAGAAAAGACACAATTCCACAAATAAGATATACAACAAACAGACCATGAGATAACCCAATCCCATATTTTATAAAACTCATGAGTGGGAAGCTGCATGTTCTTAGCAATTTTCTCTTCTACAATCGTTTCTCCCCGAGCCTTTAGTCTGCCTTATCACAAGTTGAAGATTGAAGGAGTTCGGTGGGTTTCAGGTCATTAAGGGTTACATTTCCAGTCGCACCTGCTTTCAGTAAAAGTAACTGGGACAAAGCTGAAGAATCATTGATGTAGAGAAACCGAACAAAAGATAGACCACACAATCAGCAAAGATTAGAAGCCCTTCGGTAAAATGCAAACAATGCCTGTTGTATGTATTATGTGAAATGAGTAAACTATGACTGGGACATCTGATCACCATATGGTTTACATTGATCAGATAAGAATTTAGTACATTACCCGTTGTGTATAAAAGCTAGAAACCTGTGGGACTTTGCAGAGTTTTAGTCTTAGACTGATAAGGCTGACTGTCCTTGCGTTCACTCAAATAAATGACTGTTATTCTATTTCTGAGTCTCCTGGCAGTTTATCAAGTTAAATAACTAAAGAGCAACTACAGAACAACTGCAGTAAAGTGTTATTACAAATGCAGAATATTACAGTTGGAAGGGTTATCAACCTGATACATTGGGTGGAATCCGTACTGCTACAGATTGGGAGTGGACTGTGGTCAGCCCTGTATGTCCTTTGCAAACAGTCTGGGGAGTTGTGGGAAGTCAGTCAAGGAGCTGCACAGATATCAGTCTCTGGTGTCTGGTCAGTCATCAATCAAGGCTTTCCTTTCGAGTCAGTCAAGTGGGTAGGTCACAGTCAGTCCAACCACTCAAAGTCAAGGTGGTGAGGTGGGGGGGAGGATTATCAGGGGCCACTGCTACAGGGGTGAAGCCAGGGAACTCAACTGTAGGGTTGGAAGCAGGATGCTGGGATAACAGTTGTGAAGGAAGAGACCGACTCAACATATAAGGGCGGTGGGGGAGACAATAGGCGTAGAAGCGAACAGGATAAAGTAGGAGGAGGTCATTGTCATTTGTCAGCATCCTGGCTTTGATGAGATGAAATTGCATTATCATGTTTGGCGTTGTCTCAATATGCCTAGGACTGAAGGAGAATGTAGGGAGATTAGCAGATAGATGGTTGGGTGGGAATATGGGGAAGGTCAAAGCCAATGGAGTTGACTTAGAGAACAACTGAGAAATGAATGTGTACATTTGGGGGTTGAATAAGAGGAAGTCGCTGAGTATTGAATGAATGTGTGAAGCTTAACTGCTGTTTCCGCCCATTGTCCTCCACAATAATCCTTAACACCAGTGCTCCACAAGGCTGCGTACTCAGCCCCTTATTATACTCCTTATACACTCAAGATTATGTGGCCAAATTCCACACTAACTCCATTTACAAGTTTTCTGATGACACCACTGTCGTGGGTTGGGTCCCAAACAACAAAAAGACAGAGTACAGGAAAGAGATAGACAGCTTAGTTCCATGATGTAAAGACGACAATCTGTCCCTCAACGTCAGCAAAACACAGGAGCTGGTCATCGATTTCAGGAAGTGGAGTGGAGGACACGCCCCTATGTTGAGGTGGAGGTGGTCG